GTGCGAAGCTGGGTCTTCATCCCTACAAGGACTGTATAAAGGCCACTTTTATCAATGCTGCCATAGACAGATGTATATGTGGCAGGTAGAATGGTCAGGACAGTATTACGCAGATCTTTCCTGACTGGTTCCTTCATCCCTTGTCATTGGTCCAGTCTGGTGGATACATCTTTCAGGACTCAGTAATGTGCCACAGAGCTACTCTGAAGTCTCCAGCTTTCTACCCTCTTCTTCAAACTGTTAGTCAACATTGGCTGATGAATAAGTACTCTTCGATGTAGGTGGTACATTGCGGAGGTTTCCTTGACCATGTTTGCTCAAATGTCATTCAGCTTCATCGATTCTTGGGGTCATTTCCTCCCACCTGTATATCAGTGTACCATATCCTCCTGCTGGGTCTCTGCTACCAATAGGTGGTTGATGGATGTGGCTGGGACATTGGCTCTGATCTGATTTTTGTGAGATAGTGACTATCTCAGGCTGTTGCTTAATATTGTCTTCATTTTATCCTTCAGTTTGTTAACTTTTTAGTGAAGTTTTTGACTGAGTAACAAGGAGAATTGCTGAAAGTAATACAGTGGTTCGTGTCTATATGGATTTTAGTAAGGCATTTGACAAGGTCCCACATGCAGACTGCACACACAAATTACAACCCATGGGATAGACAGGAGTGTGATGTATTGGATCCAAAATTGGCTCAAAAGTTTGAAAAGAAGGATAATAGTTGACCAGTGTTTTTGTGAATGGAAAGCAATTTCCAGTGGTGTTTCACGGGACTCGGTGTTGGGATTCTTGTAATTTTTGGTATATATTAATGTAGATTCAAATGTGTAAGGCATGGTTGGGAAATTTACAGATAAAAATTCATATGTAGTTGAGAGTGAAGACCATAATGGTTGACTGGAGGATACTATGGTATGGTTGTCTGGGTGGAAAAGTGGCAAATAGAATTTTAGTCTGGAGAAGAGTAAGGTTATGCCTTTGGGAATGGCAAAGAAAAGCAAAGCAAAGGAATACATGGTAAAAAGGAGGAAGCTTATGTCCATATGTTCTGAAAGGTTGCAAAACTGGTAGGTAAGGTATAAAGAAGTCCTATGGGATGTTTTCCTCCGTTTAGTGAAACATTCAAGATTAAAGAGGGGATGTAATGCTGGAACAATACAAGACACTGGTTTGGCTACATTTGGGAATTTTGTCTACACACCTGATCACCACAATAGAGAAAGGACGTAAATCTTCTCTGTACTTTCTCTCTAGAACAATTATGAGAATATTGCTAGGGCTGGAAAATTGTAGATATGAAGGAAGCTTGAATAGGTTATGATTGTTTACCTTAAAACAGAAGTGTGAATTAATTGAGGTGCACAAAATAATGAGGGACTTCAATAACGTGGGCATGGAAGACTAGTTTCTCCTTGTGACATGTGAATTAGGAGAGGCCCAGATTTAAGTTGATTGGTAGAAGGGTTAGATGGGACATAGGAAAAACTTAACAGTGGTGGGTTTTCAGAATTTGCTGTCTGGTTTGATGATTTAAGGTGAAATCCTAAATTTGTGCAGATCCAGATTCCTTTTAAACATGAAATGCTGTAATTTTCTATGATTCAGGGACTGGACTGGGATTAGATGGGCTGCTAGTTTATTCAGCTGGTGCAAACATGATGGGCTAAATGGCATCTTTTTCTGCCATGACTTTTCTATGGCTCCGTGAAGTCGAGGTTGTAGAGTATCATTTGACCCTATTTCCTAATAGTCATGAATACTCCTGTTCAGAGTGAGGACCATGGACAATCTCAAAGTATGAATTACTTTAATAATTAATTGTCTGTGGGTTTTGGAAGGGAAAAACCACCTAGGCTCTTAATCAATTCATCTTTACTGGAAATGCTGGTATATGAATATCAAGTGAAATCAGGCTGTTTTTCCTTTCTCTTCGTCACTAGTCTAGGGTACTGAGCTTAACTGTAAACGCTCTGTCACTGCTTTAGCTGAGATCTGATATTTCGGTATAGGCCAAGATTTGAACTGGCATCCCCACATCATTATGATTAAGTAGGCAGTGGTTTTACCACCAAACCATTAGAGCAGGTTTTCATCTCAAATCCATCTCCTCCTTCCTTTTGTGTAAAGGGTCAGTCTTCAATGAAAATCAGTAATGAATGGCAGCATTTGGACACAGCACACTAATGCAGACATCTATGCCTTGGAAGGACTGGACCTTGAGACGGCTCCCTTATTTCACACTTGCAACATTCTTAACCATACCTGAATCATTAGCAAAGTAACAATCTAGTGCTGATTGAAGGTGATTCAGAACCTGGTGTACTAGTTTCATCCAGTCATTGGGAGACGGACTGGAAGCCAGGCCTCCTGAATAAACTTGACAATACTACAGAATTTAAACCTGAAATATCACAAACTACATCTACCAACAACAGAACATAATTAAATGCTGATTAATTGTACAAAACATTGTTAAATCCAAAATTCATAACATTCAGAACAAAATTCGTTAACTGATAACAATGCTGTTCCAAAGCCAACCTCAGAAGAGGCACCCCTGCTATTGCATTAATGAATGTTGTCAACATACTTGTGCACCTGTCTGAACTCTATTGGGTCAATTGTACAGCATTTCCATGCTGAATCTTATTCTTGGCAAGGTTCACGATGTGGCACTGCTGGTTGGACTGGGGCATACAAAATCAGAAGTCACATGACACCAGGTTATAGTCCAACAAGTTTATTTGAAATTACAAACTTTCGGAGCACTGGTCTTTCATCAGGTGAAGTGTTCACTTCTCCCACCAGTATTATCAGGTCCCATTTGGGAACTCCCTATCTGAGAGGGCAGGTTTGTGATTTTCCATAGAATTGCATCTTTAATGGGGCCAACGCAACATAAAAAGTCTTCTGCCAGCACAATTCCAAGCATTACAATAAGACCATATGCCAAAAGAATACATCTCAACCATTCCTGACATTAGCAAGTTCCAAACTTTAAGCACTATCTGGCTAAAAATATTTCTCCTGAAATCACATTTGTGTTTGTTAGTGTGTACCTCACATTTACATTTGTACAATTGGTGTGAGTAATGAAACACAATTTATGCACAAATCAATTCAGAGCAAGAGCAATGTGAAGCACTTCAAAATCAGGTTGACTCTGCTGTGTCGCTTGACTGCGACAAACGGGCAGTAAGAAAATAAGCTTTGAAAAGTTGACAATATCAACTCACATTTGGTGTTTCAATACCAACGTACTGTTCACTTGAAACAAATTTGAAGAAAGGTTGGTTGTGGAGTCTGCAGTAATTTACCAGTTTTAAGATTCTGTAACATTTGGAAGGAATTCCCTGGATTCTGCTGTTAATGACAAATAAGACTTCAAAAGACATTAAATTTGGGCACCATCAATAGTCCCACAATTTGAAAGTGACATCTACTCATGGTTGTGAATTTCTGCCGGACATTTTTTCATGTGACTCACCAAACTGAATCTTGACCGGCAGATCTTTGTGTGCATGAGCTGTACTAAATGAGAGGAGCTTGTGATCAAATTCCACCGTCTGCCGTGGCAAGATGCAAATGCTGGTTCCTGGAATGTTGTCCGGGTCTCTGGATTAACAATCCAGCAATAACACAACTAGGCCATTGCCTCCCCCTATAATCCTGGTCCAGGAATATGCTAAGTTTGGTACAGATTTCCAACTATTTGGATATTTACAATACGTCTGAGAACTGAATCCAAAAATATCAGGAAAAGTCCCTGTCCTTAAATCTTCCAAGTTCCCTTAAATTACTTAGCGATACAGAGTGGGAGACTGAGTTTACAGACCAGTCTTAGATTTAAGCTTTATCTAAGTGTAGCTTCACGCTCTTAACGGTTGGTTATTTTCAATGTCTGGACTCATGCATGGACATTTGGGAATATTATTGAAACTTGTAATTGTGGAACTGACCTCCAGTATAACTACCTTGTTCTCTTCACAGATGCTGACTGACTTGATGATTGCTTCCAGCATTTTCAGCAACTGCAATATTTTCTTTGTTTTGACAAGTTTTAGAATCACACGATAAGGTGACATACGTGGAAGTTTCTAAAAATGTGTACAGTTTAACACATCACAAAAATTGAAATTACAGGAGTTGTAATGACAGGGTCTCTTCAGTTGTAGGTGCTCTGAGAAGCTTTGTGATCAAAAGAAGTACTTGAATTCAGACCTTCATGTTTAGTTTCAAATGAAAAAGAGTATTAACATTACTTGAATGAATTAGTGAATGTTGTTGCACAGTGCACTTGATGGGCCGAATCCTGCTTCACACTGTAAGGATTCCATGATTCTAGGTGATTATATGAACTGTGTAATTTGGAATTCAAAGCAAATTTTATTACAAACGCTAGAGGGCAGCAATGTATCAAACGGCAGCTTCTCTGTGGCCTGTGGATTTTAAATCGGGACCAAGGACAGCAACCAATTCAATGTAAGGGAATCACTAAAATCCAATGGGAAATTAAGCCAACAGTACCTTACTCAAAGATTGGTAAGAATATGAAAGTCACTTTAACAAGGAAAAGTCAAGTAGATAGCTTAGACATAATCTAGTTTCTTCTTAGATAACATGTGAGTAGGGACTGAAGAGAAGAATAACCTCAAGAGTTTGGTGAAAAGGGACAGAAGAGGCTCATATAGACTATAAACTTTCACAAACTAGTTGGACCAATGGCTTATTAATGTGCTGTATGCTCAATGATCAGAATCTTGCCGACTTTGTGTGTTTTGCAGATGGCAGGATCATGTCTGGGTTTTTAACTGGACCCTGCTTGGGAAGAATTTTAGTAGAATCTTACTTCAGATAACAAATTAGGCATTCGTCTCAGATCACTGTCCAGTACGGAATGATGAACAGAATTCAAAGTCAAGAATGTGTTAAAATGCAAAATTTAAGGTCCAGTTGGTAGACTTTATAGTGGCTGCACTTTCTTTTTTGTCTTTCAGGGGAAATGGATGCATAACATGCAGGAGAGATGTCTGAACTGTGAAGAAGTCCTATTACTGGCAATCATGATGCCAATTGTGGAGAGTGCATTTGAAATTGACAGCCTGGTCTGATGCCATACCTCCAATGAAGGGAGAGATAAGGAGCCAACAGAGAGTGGGTGAAAGCATTATATGTAATCACAGAAATGAATTTGAGCTGTCCATTTGAATCACGAAAATAAATTTCACGATCAGCATGTGCAGGCCTGTAACTGCAGTTGCCATGTTTTTCACTAACTGAGTCCTTATCTCTATTGCGTGGAAAATATTGGTGGTGCAGCAGGAGCTGTGAGAGAAGGCAACTCTTTTCTGTCTGAGGAGGAGCAGAACTGTGAGGAATCACTGTTACGGGAATCATACAAGCCCTTCACTAACACTAAATCCTTCACTATCAACATCTTTGGCTTACTGTTGACTCGAAACTTAACTGAATAAATCATGTTAATATTGTCACCAAAAGATAGGGTGGGAGTTTTGTAATTTTTCTGTTGAACTTTTGGAAACTCATCTCTTGATTCTCAAAGAGCTGTTCACCATCTTGAATACACAGGTCAACAATGTTAAGCAACCTGTCTAATTTGTATTGCATCGACATTTTAAAAAAAACAGTACCTGAAATGGTGCAGAATAGGTTCAGTATGTATCATTCATGAGATGCATTGAAGCATTTTGCTAAGGATCCTTCAACAGTACCTTCTGAATCTGCAGCCTGTGTCACTTATGAGATTGGGGGGAGCAGATTCACAGGGAGACACCATTATCTGCAAGGGTCCCTCCAAATCATGTAACATCTTGACTTTGAACCATATCCTTGTTCCAGCATTGTTACTTTGCTGAAACCATAGGTCTCCATTCCTAATAGCACTCAGTGTAATTATACCACAAGGACTGCAACATGAGGAAGTTGACACACCGCTACCATTCAAGGGCAGGTGGGAATGGACAGTAAATGATAACCTTGCCAGTGATTCTCAAGTTCCATGAATTACCTTGCTGGAACCCAAGTTGTGGTCAAATGGGTGGTACAAGATGTGGAGCAAGCGGTGAAAGCATTGACAACTGTAAGGAGTCCCCATGAATATACTGAAGTCATTACCGTTATGCTTAACTCCACATCAATTCTCAATTTCACTGAAGGTGGTATTCAGTTATTGAGTGCTTATGGGGTGATCTGTTGGCATCTGTCAATGTTTCCTGAGGCAGTGTGCACCTTTTCACGGAAGATGGAGGGATCCTTCTTTTCCATAAGTAGTAATTTGACTGAGGCATATGAGTATGTTACATCTTCTATTAAGTGTGGTGAACCTCATAGAAATTCATATTAGCTAGTGACAACAGATGTAGAGGCAGTGCAATTGCAGCCTTGAAAAGCACAGATGGCTCAAAGCTGCATCAAACCACAGTCAAGTGCTCTCCCACTTGTTAACAGGAAAGTGCAGGTTGCACTGAAAGAATGAAGGAGACCAGATGATGACGTTGTGGCCTTATTCAAGCCTTTCAGTTTCTTGTCACTTCCTGGATTCCTCTGACTGGGGCTGCCCTGCACGGATGCAGGTGGAGCAGTGAATACCTGGGCCTTCATTGGCACCACGACCCATAGGAAATTTGTCATTACCAGAATTAACATTTCAGGTGCAGTGACCCTTTTTTAATGATTCAAATGGGCAGCTCGGATTCATTTCCATGATTATAATATAATGCTTTACCCCGCTTCCTGGCTCTTCCTTCCATTCAGAAGAAGGGTCTCGAGATCCAAAATGTTAAGTCTGATTTCTCTCCACAGATGCTGCCAGACCTGAGTTTTTCCAGCAATTTCTGTTTTTGTTTCTGATTTCCAGCATTTGCAGTTTTTTTTTATATCATCCTGCTCAGCTGGTTGTACTATGTAGAAATATGAGGAAGAGAATATGGAAGAAATTTTAACTACATAGGGTTCAACTTGGTGTCTTCATTATTGTAAGTGTCACAATGAATAGCTTTACTGTGATTAAAATATTTATCCTGTCTATTTTCGGTTTCATGTAGTTCTTCATAGCCGATTACTCGTTGACCAAAAGGAGCTGAATGAATGCTTCAGGTTTTAAGGTGATGAGGGGTAGTGGTTTGGGCTTACGTGAAACAATAAGATCTGCCTTTTTAGAGTAATGTTTAGCTTGGGGTCACACTGACATGGGCACCATCAGTGCAGGACCGAACCCCATGTGAATTTTGCCTAGATGAGGGTGTTATCAGCTTCCCAAACATACATGGCAATCGGCATAGGCATTAGCAGCTCCTCTGGATGGGCAAACTCTGTTGTCAGATCCTTGTCCCTCGTCCCTGCTTAAAATATGGTTCCAGTGACTTGCTCAGTCTGTCATGCCCTGTGCTACAAGTTTTCAAAGATTTTGTGTGGTGGTGTCTCGCACTCTGCATGAGCTGGTGCTACAGAGAAGTGTGGAGGTGGCACCTAAAGGGGGTGCTGCCTAATCAGCACTTGTGGTGAGACAGTAAGTCTGCAGATGCTGGAAGCTGGAGTCAATAAATGTGGGGCTAGAAAAGCACAGCCCACGAGACAGCATCTGAGGAGCAGGAAAGTTAATGTTTTTGGGCTAAAACCCTTCATCATCAGGTGGTGGTGTTAAAGAAGTGAAACCAGATCCTGCTCAAGTTGACAGTAGCACTTTGCTTAACATGAGAACATATTTTAATTTCCTTGTCTTTCCTCTCTTTTTAATCACTCTCATTCTGTTTTGATTATTGAATCTTGGCTCTCACGTGATCGCTGTACAATTTGTATCAGGAAGACAAGAAATAAATACAAAGCCTTGAAGAACTTTACAAGTACTGACACTGATATTAGCCTAAACAATTAAAGCTTGTTTGGTGGTTGGTTGTGTAGACCATCTTATAGGCTGAAAGTGTTGTAGATGGTAGATCAGAGGCTTGTGGGGAATTCCTGAGGTTCGGGCTCAGACAGCTGAGGGTATCCTGAATAGTGGCGTGATTAAAATTGGCGTTGCTAAAGAGGCCAGTATAAAAGGAATACAGCTATCTCAGAGACTTGAGAGGAAATACACGGATAGGGAAAGGTGAGATTCTGTAGGAATCTGAAAACGAAGAATGTAATTTTTAAATTCCTCATTAGGAGTCAATGAAAAACAGTAAACATGGGTAAGTTCTCAGTTTTCTTTTGCTACTTTTCCTTACTTCGATGTTCTTTCCAACTTTAACTAGGTTTGATGAAAATTGACATAATGAAACAGAAAAATCAGGACTCCTTTCTTTGTTGATAGACTTTATTAAGTGTTCAATTTTCTACACAGATCACTAGACCCAATTGTTTTCCCTTTATATTTACCCAGTTACAATTATCTGTTTAAGTAGTTGTGTTATTATTAGATTCTCTTTATTTTAAACCTTGAGGCACAGAGAACTAGTGGTACAGTGGTAGTGTCCAACGACTGAGAGTGAAGGTCTGAGTTCAAGTTCCACATCTTGATCTGTTGTCGAAGAGGTGTGTCATAACACATCTAAACAGGTTGATTTAAAAATAAGGAGAACTTTTGAATATATGGGAATGATCCTTGAACCAAACTAATGAAAATTAAACTGATTTTTTTTTTGGTTCATATTCTACATCTTTGGAGCGATACAGTGGCTCAGTGATTAGCACCACTGCCTCACAGCGCCAGGGACCTGGGTTCAATTCCACTCTTGGGTGACTGTGCGAACTCCACACAGACATTCTCCCTGTGTTTGCATGGGTTTCCTTCGGGTGCTCAGGTTTCCTCCCACAGTCCAAAGATGTGCAGTTTAGGTGGATTGGCTGTAGTGTCCAGTGCTGTGTAAGTGATATGAATTAGACATGGGAAATGCAGGGTTACAGGGAAAGGGTAGGGGGTGGGTCTGGGTGTGATGCTGTTCGGAAGGGCGGTGTGGACTTGTTGGGCCAAATGGCCTGATTCCACACTGTAGGGATTGTACCATCATTCTATAATTCTATGATCTTGGAATCAATCAGTAACATTTTTCATTCCACGTAATACAAGCAAGCTTCCATATTTTCCCCCTTCTTTCTTTGAATGAGAATAATAAATTGACCAACTCGCTTTCCTGGGATTGTACTATAGGCCCCCCCAATCATCAGAGAGAAATTGAGAAACAAATATGTAGGGAGATCTCAAATATATGTAAGCGTAATAAGGTTGTAATAATGGGGGATTTTAATTTTCCAGATATTGACTGGGGCTATCATAGTATTAAAGGTTTGGATGGTGAAGTACTTGTCAAATATGTTCAAGAAAATTTTCTTTATCAATATGTGGCTGGTCCTACAAGAGAAGGAGCAAAACTAGACCTTCTTTTATGCGATAATACAGGACAGGTGACCGAAGTTAAAGTAGAGGAACACTTTGGGTCTAGCGATCATAATTTTATTAGTTTCAAAACGGTTATGGAAAAGGACAAGTCTTCCATAAAAGTTAAAATTTATAATAGTCTGAGACAAGAGCTTTCAAAAGTTGAAGTAGACTGTTCGCAAGGGAAAGGATGTCTGACAAGTGGGAGGCTTTCAAGAATGTGATGACGAGAGTTCAGAGGCATTTTGTTCCTGTTAGATTGAAGGATAAGACTGCTAAGATTAAGGAACAATGGATGAATAACAATATTGATGTTCTAGTTAATAAAAGAGAATCTTATTTAAAATATAGAGAATTTGGTTCAATTGACTTTTCTTCCCTATTCATTTGTGAGATGTGGGCGTTGCTGGCTGGCCAACATTTATTGCCTGTCCCTGGTTGCCCTTGAGAAGTTGGTGGTGAGCTGCCTTCTGCTGTGGCTTGACCCACAATGCTATTATGGAGGGAATTCCAGGATTTTGACCGAGCGACAGTGAAAGATTGGCGATTACATTTCCAAGTCAGGATGGTGAATGGCTTGAGGGAAACTTGAAGGTGGTGGTGTTCTCACATGTCTGATGCCCTTGTCCTTCTAGATGGAAGTGGTCGTGGGTTTGGAAGGTGCTGTATTAGGATTTTTGGTGAATTTCTGCAGTACATCCTGTAGATTGAACACACTGCTGCTACCGAGCGGTCGGTGGTAGAGGGAGTGGATACTTGTGGATGTAGTGCCGTTCAAGTGGGCTGCTTTGTCCTGGATGGTGTCAAGCTTCTTGAATGTTGTTGGGGCTGCACTCATCCAGGCAAGTAGAGAGTAT